AAAAAAAAAAACAATTTTGATAAGAACTAAAGTTAAGACCATTATTTTTTCAGTAAGCCTTTCAAGGCATTTCAGACTAAGGAACAAAACCTGCAATGGCTCTTGGGTGGAAAAGTTTTGCTGGTTCCTAGGAATTCCAACCAGCATGGCTGGAGCAGAGTAAGATGAAAAATGGCAGGAATGAGTTAGGCATGGGCCAAATCTGGGAGGGCAAAGACCATGGTAGGCACTGAATTTTAATCTAAGTGCTAAGGTAAATATAGTCATTGGAAGACCATCTAAGAAAGACAGTGACATCATTCCATTTATTTATAAAAGATTTTTATTGCTATTTTATGAAAAATGGATGGGAAGAGTGCCACAAAAATGCAAAGATCACAGTTGCTGGAACTGGTTTCATTTCAGGCAAAATGACTCAATTCTTCATGCCATTTGCTCCAGTGTACCTCATCTTTTTTTTTTTTTTTCCTTCAGACAGAATCTCACTCTGTCGCCCCTCAGAGCAACCTCAAACTCTTGGGCTCAACAGATCCTCTTGCCTCAGCCTCCCGAGTAGCCAGGACAACAAGCCCTTCCCACCATGCCCAGCTAGTTTTTTCTATTGTTAGTAGAGAGGGGTCACTCTTGCTCAGGCTGGTCTCAAATTCTTTAGCTCAGGCGATCCACCCACCTTGAGATAGATAGAGTGCTAGGATCATATATGCATGAGCCACTGTATCCAGCCTACATCATCTTCTAAGAGAACTCGCTGTTAAATTTATCATGGTTTTTATCCTGTTTTCATAAAATAACATCCAGAGTAAAAGTTTCTTGAACTCCCATCTATTCTTAGATAAACATCATTATTATGCCTGTTTTATACTGAGGTTTAGAAAGTAAGGTAAAGTCATTTGCCTAAGTCACTCACCTGGCAAAAACCTGTTCCCTTCCAGTTTTTGTTTTTACTTTTGTTTTTAAGAGACACAGTCTGACTCTGTCACCCAGACTGCAGAGCAGTAGCGCCATGATAGCTCAATGCAACCATGAACTCCTGGGGTCAAGTGATTCTTCTGCCTCAGCCTCTCTAGAAGCTAGGATTACCAATGTACACACCACCACACCTGCTAATTGAAAAAACTTTTGTAGAGACTGGATCTCAGTATGATGCTCAGGCTGATCTTGAACTTCTGGCTTCAAGTAATTCTTCAAGTAATTCTTCTGCCTCAGCCTCCCTAAGCATGGGGTTACAGGCATGAGCCACTGTACCTGGCCCCCTTCCAGTTTTAAAGGAGGGACCTTCCCTCAATCCCAAAAGTTTGAGGTTGCTGTGAGCTGTGATGCCACAGTACTCTACAGAGGGTGACAAGTGAGACTCTGTCTCAAAAAAAATAAAAAATAATAATAATAAGCAAATAAAGGAGAGACCTTTATAATTACTACCTTATGGAAAACAGCTACTATGTTTTATCAATGAATTATCAAAGGTTTGGAAAAAATAGGATATATGCTGATGAATGCAAGGCCACTCAAAGAAGTAAAAATAGAATGAATAAGCAATTAAAATAGCTGTGAAAAAATTCAACCACAGCTATGTTTAGCAAATGACTTTTTAAAATCTTTTTAGCCTATAAAAGAATCAATATGTTTGTTTTCATTCAGTGGTGACAAATATACGGAGATAATAAGGGAAAGTACAGCTAATAAATAAACTGCTCTTGTTCCGTCAGTCATTTTTAAGATAAATCTGAGTATCAATATCACCAAACTGAGTAGAAAGCATCAATCTCAATCTAGAAATTTCTTAATCATTCTAGAAATCTCCTATTCTAAGAAGGCAGAAATAAAAGTAGTTAAGAATCTATAGTTAGAACACCCTAATCCATGGGTACTCAAACTTTTTAAACAGGGGGCCAGTTTACTGTCCCTCAGACCATTGGAGGGCCGGAATGTGGGCCCCGGGATGAGTTGGCTGCTAAGCAGAACAGGCAGTGGCGGCAATAACACCCAGTGGGCTGGATAAATGTCCTTGGCAGGTCGCATGTGGCCCGCGGGCCATAGTTTGAGGACACCTGCAGCCTAATCTTAGGATTTATTCTATCAGTTTAGTACAAGTAGGTTAAAAACCAAGAACTGTGCTGTGTACATGGATTCCTAGGAACACGAATCATCATTCCACCCGGATTCCATCATCCCTTTACTAACTGAAGGAATTACAGCATCAGATCTTACATAGGTATTACCCTAATCGACAAAATTTATCCACAAAACTATACATGTATGTATCTGATTACAAATATCAAAAGCTTAGCTTAAGATAATTCCTGCCAATGTCTCATCAACAGCTCTCTAAACACAGGATCCCTACACTAGAGGCACCAGCCCCGTTAATGACCACTTCAGTAAAAACAAAGTCTACAGGAGGTTAGAAGGGATCCTGAAGGATATTATTTATGCAAAACATAGAGGGGGCACTTTTCCAATACCACCACCACTTCACCAAAGTCAAGAGATTCCCTTTCCTACCTTGACAGCTCTGTTTGGCACCAAATTTCTGAAGCAAAAGCACACTACAAGCTAGAACCTAAAGGCTGCCATCTGCTATACTCTGTACAAATGGGCCATCTCCTGGCAAGCTAATAATAATGCCTGATGTGATGAGTAAAACTTTGGCTTTGCTCCCAGGCTAATGGACAAAAAAAGAAGAGACAAGGAGTCAGAGAGAGTTTTATATCTGGTAAAAAAGTGGGGCTTCTGGGTGGCACCTGTGGCTCAGTGGGTAGGGTGCCAGCCCCATATACCAAGGGTGGTGGGTTCAAACCCGGCCCCGGCCAAACTGCAACAAAAAAACAGCCAGGCGTTGTGGCAGGTGCCTGTAGTCCCAGCTACTCGGGAGGCT